GGCATTTCGGCGTCAATGAGAGATTCAAGGATACAAGTGACTACCCCAAAGAGAACACCCCCGGGTTCTTTAACTCTGTAGTCCTTGAGGAGCAGGCAGCTCGCTTGGTATGCAAGAAGTATAGCCATTCATCTCCCGATCTCCGGCAAAGTCCCAACCTCCGGATATAAATTAGCTTTTGTTTAGCATTCAATGCAAGCCACCTTTTTCACCCTCCACCCCACCGTTCACCTGATCCACGGTTAGACACCCACCTGCTCTCGACCTAACCCCTGAACCACCCCCTAGCGATCCGGTGCAATTAATGTAGCCACTAGGCTGCCTCTCGGTCGAGCCAATTAAACATTTGCGATTGCCATGAAAAGGAATCGCCCCAACGTTAAAAGGGAATTAAATTCCCGCAGGTATTGGGCACAAGTTCGATGTAAAAAATCCGTTTGCCAGCTATCGAATACTGGTAGAATGGAAGGGTCGGGAGAGGAACGGTGGCCATCGATTCGTCGAACAATTTTTAATTTCTACAAAATTGATCTTTTGATACGGACAGAGAGCGTGTTCAATGCATTGTGGGTACAGATTTTACGAGCCAGCGTAGCTCATTACAAGGAACATTCAGATTCTCTATTTTCAAACCTTTATAGATTATATAAGGAATTTTTAGCGATGGTTCGTAACATTCTTCTTGTGAGCCCATGGAATTATTTTAGACTCTCTGTTTCAAAAAGGAGAACTTCGTATGCAACACGTTGGACTGTTCCAACGAATTTGAAACAATTTACGAGCAAAGGTACCATCGGCAATGTACCAAAAGACTCATGGAACAGATACTAATCTGCGACGCTTTAACCGAGCCAAGAGAGGGAAAAGAGGACTAATAAACCGTCTGACAGAAACGGGCGAAAAATCCGTGCAGATAAGAGAGGATAGCCCGAAATTTCGGGTACGTGAGGTACATTGTCCGTCGGCGAATCTAGGAGGTTTAATCTATCATTGCGAAGGAACAACGACGTCGGGGGTGGCGAACAGTCACGGTAACTAGCGGGGAATAATTAATAAATGCGAGAATGCATTAGTATGCGTGGCGTGGGATGAGTCCGTGCGAACCCAGAAGTCGGGATGAACACGGACAACCGTGTCGTGGCTGGGCGAGTCGCAAGGAATTATAAAATAATAAAGAGAAAATTACGTAATGTGAGGATCAGATGAGAATTAGAGGACAATGAAGACGGGGTAAACCAGCCTCGTCTAAGGGGTCGTCGTGTTCACCTAACCGGGGCGGAGAGAGGGGAAAGGGGTGGAAAACGGAGGTCGAAGACCAGACGTCTTAATGTCTGCATCGTCGGGAACGCGTCCCTTGCGCATGACTGTCTTTTCACGAGTTTACGTCTTTCTGATAAGAAACTCGAACCTTCAGGATAAACTCGATTGTCTCGAAACATTTATATTTCTAGACTCGAATTAATATCTTAAACGCAAAGGATGTCGATGACCGACGTTCGACCAACATTCGAGGGAACTGAAAATTCATGAACGTGGAATGCGGTTAAAAGAACCGTTCGAAATTTATCAGAGTATATACAGAACGCTAATCGGGAATCCTAATTAGTAGTCCGGCGACGTACAACCGACTGCGACTTTGTAAATGGTAACAATGTTATGTAATTAGGTAAAAAGTTCTGTAATCAAGAAGTAGATCTTCTACGAGTCTCTCTCGGCGTACCCACCCCTCGTTCGTATTAAAATAGTCTCGCTAGGAAAGCGTGCGTTGTGCCGTGCATATCTTAAAACCCACAGGGGTTGCTAAGATCCTCCGCCCCCATCCGGTTCTGATTTTTCCTGCGATTCATTTTGGCCACCGCCTACATACCGCGCGGATTATATTCGGAGAAAGTCGTGCTGTTTCGACCTTTTTAAATTTTACCGATCTATATTTTCTACCGCCTTCGCTACATAGAATAATTTCCTGATAAAGTTCAAACCGGGTACACTTTGATCGAGCGCCTTTTACTACTGTGCTATCAGTCATCGTAGATCGAGTCGATCAAAGTCTATCGCAGCGAGACTGTAAAAGTACAGATAATGTTACAGGTGTACGATCGACTTCGTTTCATCGGTGTCGAAGTGAGACATCATTCGCGAAGTAGCAAAAATGACTACCTCGAAACTGTCGATGTTCGGTCGAAACTGTTGACGTCAGTGTTTCCAATAAGCGTACTCTCGATGATCTCATAGGCATGTATACGAATAAATATACTACACGGTGAAGTCAGTTTGCGGTGCCTTTTTCGTCCCCGTCGATGCAACGTAAACGTTCATATTGTGGAGTCGCGTCGTACCACGTGTTCGTTTGTCAGCTTTCTCGGAAAGCCGCGAATACATGTTCCTTCTCGCATGCATAATTTCCCTGGCATGAACACCTTTTTCGTTGTTAGACGAATTATCGTGCGCCACGGTAACAGACGCTCGAGCTTTCTCCTTTGAACTCGAATGAAACATCAGGTTTATTACATTTATCGCGTACCCTTGCCTCGCGAATCACGTATCCCTTTCCTTTCATCTGACCATTGGGATGTTTTATTTTTCTTTTCCTTTCTTGCCTTTAATTCCACGTGCAATGTATATCGTTCTTGTCGCGACAAACTTTGTCCGCGTAAAATAATCGAAATTAACACCTTCGCGGTTGGTTTCGCGTATTAGAAACTGATATGTAACTTTATCCGCGCGGAATACGTCGGGCCGTGGGCTCTGGGCTCTGCAACTTTATATTCCTATTCCGACAAAGAGGCGAAACGGGATTAGAAATTTTTACCTATTCGCGAAATGCTGCAGTCAGAGACTTCGCATACCTAATTCCTGTCGCTTTTCCTTGCTATCACGCAAATTACGTTTATAATAATAATACGAGAGAAACAAACTGGATGCTTAAATCGGAAAATTGTCTATTCGTATCTATTATAATCAACGCTTCGATGTCTTACTACGCATGCCCGTTTCTACTGCGGCAGTCAAAACGTTAACCTTTCACCGTATCAAGTATGTGCCTTACAGCGAATGCTGGGAACACGTTTTACTATGGGCTAAGAGCCATGACCGCTCGATTCATACGAGGCTTCAATAACATATCGCATAGTTTATTAGGCATCGTTCGAGCCTCGAAATAGAAAATAAATTTCGCGTAACCGTTGATCGTGTTGCACGAGCGATCTCAAGCAAGTACCGTGAGTCGCGTGCAACGACACGCACGTATTTCGTTCACGTGTATTGGTTTCCGTACTGACACGCCAAACGATTTCAATAAACAAGCTTGACACACACGTACGTGCAAAGTGGCACGAATGGTTTTTTCCTAGAGACGGCTCTACGTGCGTGGGCGACATCGACTTTGCTTCCCTATCGCACGTAAAAGCCAAGATAAACATTATTTATTTTTTCCTTTTCTTCGCCTTTTTTTGCACCGCAGTCCATACGTAGAGCGACTTGTACGGTGTGCATGACCACCGTACGGTGAATGAAGACATTGTATAGCAATAAGGCGTATCACGATACGGATACCGATTCGATAAAATTCAATCCTCGATGCTCGAATATTGCGTTCGGATGGCAGAGGTAAATCGTTGGTAAAATACGGCGATGTCGTGTTTAGTTAAGCATCTTGGAAATTGCGTGTAACGCTCCGCACTGTTTCTCGTTCTTTCGTATCGTGTACAATTTAGATTGCACGTCACTCCGAGTTTATTTAACCTTACCGGCACGCGCATTATTTGCCTTACAATACAACGGTTTACGTCACGGACTCCTCGAACATTCTTTTAAATAACGATATATCAAATTGCTCCTCGTACGCGAAACACAAAGTATCATCGAGCTGCTCGCATATATTTTTCAAGACGTATCGATTACCTAAGTGATCCTTGTCCTTTAACAAATATCGATTAGCTCATCCTACGCGCGTTTAGTTCTCTTAGAGTCAAGTATCGTTAATCGCAAACAAGCGGAGGAGGAATGGAGAAAGAAGAACGATAGCGAATCGGAGGAAAAAAAGGAGCGAAGTTACATCGGGAGGTCAAAGTTTTCCCTAAAGCGTAGGACACGTTTCGCTCGTTAAGGGTCGTCGACGGATAAGTAACGACGGCGCCGGGCGTCGGCGGAGTGGTGGTCGCTCGAGAGAGCGTAGAACGCGGGGTTAGAGTCGGTTGGAATTAAATAAAAATAAAACGCGGGATAATAACGTTAGCGAAGGAACCGAGAGGCCAAGACAAATAGCCGAGAGAAAACAAAGCGTATTATAAATACCGGGTGACAGGACGAGTTGGTCCGGGGTAGAACGAGCCGCGCGAGTAAGAGGGTGGTTTTCAACGGAGCAAGGCCAGAAGAAGGAAGGGGGTTGGTCGGTGGTTGGCGACGACGACGACGTAGTGGCCGTGTCGACTGGCGAGAAAAGAGAAAATGCTCCGAGAAGGCGAACGATGCCCCTCTAGCATTTTTGCTACCTGCGGACACAATGAGTGGCCGGATTTCTTTTTCCGCGGTCGTTACTCACCCTCCGCCGAGGGACAGTATTCTTATCCGGCCGGAATTACAAATTTCAGACACCGAGCCCTTGTGTCGGACAGGATTCTGACTGCGCGTTATATGTATTCTCCTCACCTAGCCTCTGAAGCCAAAGTGGCTTTTGCTACGCGCGTTCTCCTTTTACAATTACGCTCTCTGTCTCTTTCCCTACCTCTTCATCTTTCTTTCTTTCGCTCTTCTTCATTCAGGTTTTCTTGCCGTTGAGATACAGAATAGACTAAACGTGAAATATTAGGTTGTTGTATATCGGATGGCTAATTTCGGAAAGTACGGAATATCCCACATAAAACATGATCTATTACTTTGAGTAAATGCATAGAAACGACGGATGTCATTATTTTCAAATTTGGATCAGTCTCTCATATTTCAAGATCGTTCATTCGATATGCAACAATCTAATATTTATTAAAGAGTATAAGATTACTTACACTGGGACGAGCGTGGCCGCGCGGATTCAGCTGCCAAGGAACCGTGGATGGCTGAAACTGCTCCTTTCCCCAGGAACCGTTGTCGAACGGATTCTCACCGATGTGTCCCTGTAACAAAAGTCCTGAATTAGTACCGCACAATATTCAAATCAGCGAACCCATTCCCTTGCTGTGGAAAAACAAGCGCAAGTTGCCAAGATTAAAACAGCAATCACATGCACATTCGAGTTACATGCAATAACATCATGCAACTTGGTCTATATCGAAGCGAAAGAGAAGTTCGCTGTCGAACGGGTTTCGCGAGAAAATATTTATTCCTGCCGCGAGTAAGCAAAGGAGCAAGAGCGGTCGCAAAGAAAGGGGACATCGATCTTTTGAGAGTCCGTAGTTTAAAAGTTTTTTTCGATGTTCCTTCACGCCACGGTGACGGGCTTATTTTTGTAATATATTCCGCGGGTCACGCGGCTCTCGCGACCTACACCCCTCTTTCTCGACTTTGCACCCCGTAAGCCTTATTTTTCTTTTAACTTTATTCCTAACCTAGAATCCTCCGACGGCAAGGTGGCACGCGCATAAATCAGCCGGTATAATGAGAACACTTCGTCTTCGGCTGGCTCGCCCTCTCGGTCGCAGACGCATCCCTTACGGGCCAGCTATTATATCATTCTTTACTTCGTGGATATTTCTGTCCGCCATCATTATATTAACATTTATCTAAGCTTCTGTTCGCTTCTCGATACATTCATATTTTCATCCCTTTCTCATTCAGAAATATTTAAATATGTCGCTGATCGAACAAGTGCCGTTTCTTTTTTTAAGCATTTTTATTTTTACCTCAAGTTCTTTAAACTCCGATTCGGGACATTTGTTAATTTCAAGAATTCTGCAAACTGTCGCCAATGTTACAAACTTGCCAGATATGTATATTCAGCTGCAAAAGTTGGTCGCGATAATGCAGCTGTGCTAATTTTAGTTGGAATTACTTCGCCACGGTATAATTAGCCGAATTTCTATTCTCATACCACAATTGAGCAACCTCAAAAGGACGGCTAAACTATCTTTTGAACAAAATTTTAGGTGGATGAATCATGTGCTTCCGTATAGAGTATATTGATCGAACGATATTTTTGTTCGGAGACAACGAGAATGAAAAACGGATCCATCCATAAATAGAGACGAAGTTTGTTATAACGTTATTGGTTCGAACCAACATCGTAAATTATGCATATAATAACACGAAAAATTGATGGAATTAATTAATATTTCCCTACCTGTTCTATCGTCATACAAGTCGAACGATGTTAATAGCGAGACACAGCTGTTCCCTTCACGAAACGGTCGAATTAAGCTAAACCTTTGTAATACAAACGATCGACAGTGCTATTTTATTCAAAACACGAAAGACCGTGTTTCGTTCGCCGAGAAATACAAGGTAGAAATAAACAGCACTCGGTGGAAAATAATGAACCGGATAGCATATATAAATACACGGAGGCTATTGAGGTACATTGTGCGCCTCATTTGCATGAGGCAGTCGCGTTCTCGACGCGCAGCTGGACATACACGCGACAAAAGAGACGCGCAAACAAAACACGCAACATGGCGACGTGCGTTCATGCAACACACGATATCGTGCTGGAGAAACGCATGGATGTTGTCGAATATCGTGCGTATCCGATGTGTCTAACATCGAAATGATATAATAATTTAAGCAACTGCATAAACTTTCAATGTCCAACTTTATAAATTTGATCGATTTACTGTTCAGTCGAGTGATCGATCGAATATTGACGAAACACCGATTCTTATTTTCGATACACGACGATGTAATTGCCACGATTACTTCGCGGCAAGAATTGTTGCCCCGTGAACTTCGGGATTAATGAACGACGAGCACGCGCAACTCGCATAACTTTTCCGATTTCCGCGATGCATCGATAGCGTGTACGTTTGCCAGTCATAGTGCGATATTCTGATCGATTCGCGTTTTATCGTCCTGTGTTACTGACAAACTGTTAACGGGCATCTTAATTGTTCAACTTATTAAAGGCATGATATACCTCACCTGTATTTACGTTAAAAAAAAATGCACACCTCGTGTAACGCTATACAGTATAGGGCATCTAAAGCAAAAACATCGGTATTATGAATTCGAAGGCGTTGAAAAAATAGTCGGTTCTTTAGAAAACGGGGGAGTATTTCACTTGTCGCGAGGAAAGCAGTATCCATCGGTGACAAGTAGCGAAGGAATCCCTCGATTGGTGAAAACGTAAAAAGGGTATAAAATTAGTATACAAGGCGGCAATAAAAACGATGATCGACGAAGATTACTCGAGACTTCCTCGTAAGACACTCTGCAACGAAATGAATCGTTTTATCGGTCGGTCGTGTCTGAGAGGGACGAGGGTAGGACAAGAGGGTGAGACGGGACTGGAAGCGCGAGACTCCGGTGATTGTAATCATATTTTCAGGGGGATGGATTTATGCAACGCACCGCCTCGTCTCTGTACATAAAACGCATTTAAAATTCTCCAGGCAGCCAGAAAGGTGGCTCCTGTCTCCGTCGATAGAACACGTGGCAGGGCGAGGAGCGCCGCGGGGGTTGTAATTGGCAATATCTATCGAATTTTACAATAAATCTCACCGAGCCCCGAAGGAGAGCCAACGGGGGTGGGGCGTAGCAATAAAACACCGCGTAGTATCGCGAGGGGGCTGCCACGCCATGCACTTAACGACTTATCTTATCTTGGAATTAGGTCGCGGTTAGAACTCCTTTAATCCGAAAACACGAATACATCCGTTGCTGGTTACAACCCTCGCTCGACAATTAACCGTGCCTGTATCGACTTATTGAGACATTCAAAATTTTAATTTGTTTGTGGATTTTTACATCAGATCTCTTCATAGATCTCGTAGAACGTTCATATGTCGGTAGATTGTGCAAACATTTTCATATAAAAAAAAAATAGCGGAACAACCAGCGTCATCTTAGTTTCTCTTTCAACGAACTGCGCAAATATCCATGAAGATTTAATAAAGGAAGGCATTTAGGTATCACGCAAATTTATAATGCAAACCGACGATAAAAATTACAAGTTGCTAAACAACCGGACAATGTTTAAGTCGGCTCGTGTCTTTTGGAAATACGCCTCCGATGGTTAGAGTGTTGCGAGACTGGACCTTGGAAAAACAAGCGTTAATATTTACTCTGATTCGTGCTCGCGAACGACTCGCATCCGTGCGATGCAGTCACTGTCATAATTGATGTTGACTTCATGCTTTAGAAAGTAGCCTTCGTAAAACATGTCCGTTGTTAACGATTTCGAAACGAAATTGTCAAACTCTTCGCAATCTTAGAAACCTCTAGAGTAGTCTCGAATGTTACTCTCATTCGCTCGGAAGTGATGGTCGAAAATTTGAAGGAAGAGAAAAGAATTAAGTAATTTTCGGCATGCGCACGCGACCGGGTATTTGTGGCCCCGTCAATTTTTATTCCCGGCCGTTAAATCGTGTAATGCCAGCAAATAGACGCGAGGCTCGCGCAAGCGGCCGAGCAAACGAGTTACGGCCGTGGGGCCTCTAAAAATAAATATGTTGTTTATTCACAAGTAAACCGGATGCCGTTGTTTGCTTTGGAGCAAATTGTTTTGTTAAGTTTTGCCGTGCGAGAGAGCGTGTATGGCAACGGTTGTGTGGGTTTCTGTTGTCCTTGTACACGGCTGCGAGGAGTTTGTGTGAGAGCTTGAAGAGGAAACGGTTTACCAGCAGGCGGGAGAACAAGAAAGAGTAAAAAGGAAGAAAGAAAATACACGTGAAGTCAACCATCCTCTCGGCTGTCCGCGCTTTTTCCGGTATGTTTTGCTTCTCGTGTTGCTAGATGCCTCCAGCTGTACGCAGATTCCGACGCTAATAACCGCTGGCAAGATGATGCTCTTTCACATTATCGAAACACATTGTTCAACTAATTGATCAATATTGTGATTTAAAGCGTTACTCTTCCGAAAACACTTCGATATCGAAATGGGTGAACATTGATACATGAAGATTCGAAAACTTTGAACCCTAGAAGAAAATGATCTTGAAACCTCTTTACGAAAGATCTAAATTTGTTTGGAATTCGTGCGAGTTTACAAGTTGATTCGATAAATGGGAAGTTAGCAGTACTGTAACAGTTTAACGGTGAAGGGAAAGCTCCAACAAGCGTTTCAGCAGAATGAAGCGGTGAAATTCTACAAAAGGCTGTATCACACCGGGCTACGTGAATCGTTCTCAAGAACAGAGAGAAAAAAACATGGACAACGAGAGACAGAGAGAGGCCCGTGAGAAAACGAAGGCAGAAGGGGGCCAGGGAAACAGGAAGAGAGGCAGAGGGTGACGTGAAGAGGAGAATCAAGAGGCGAAAAACGCTCGTGGAAGAGTCGAGAACAACGGGGTGCTCGTCTACGGGCCGGGCTAATTACAAAACACAATTAAAATGGTATCACGAAAACGCGCTAAGTAATATCGTTTTAGCGAGAGTCGAGTTTCACCGGACACCCGGTACAGATTCGCAGATTAATGCTCTTTAATAAACAGACCCTGCCTTGGTACACGTCGGTATTTCTCTCCTTTGCTCCCTCTTCTTTTTTTATACGTTTACCGCGTTAAATACAGGAACAAAAGGAGAAAAACCTCCGAGCACTTTCCGTCTAGTCTTGCGTACGCTTTGCGTAGCAGAGATGAATTAACCCTTTGAGAACTTACTGTTAACGCGTTCACTGTCGCGTTATTTACTTGTAAGCAAATCGAGACAAAGGATGCTACTAAAGTTACCAATCAAACGACAGGTCTTTACCAAAAATTAATGTTTAATATTTTTAACACTTTCGTTATTAATTTTCAAAGCTATCACACTACGTAAAAGCGAGGTAAGAAAATACATAGCAAAGTTATCGTAACTTCAACTGTCAACGCATTTACGTGAAGTAGTATCACGTGTCGTACCACAGACGGCTGTTTCTACTGTGACATATTTCACGAAGGCAACGAAATCAGTTACGAATGAATTATTTATCAGGGTTTGGCAATTGATTTACGACGATCATGTAACGATGAAAGGATCAAACGAA